CTCTTTCCCCTTCACATCTGAAGAAACAAATACCCATACTCAATAAAACTACTCATTTTTGTTGCCATTTTGCTTTTTTTGCCTATTTCTACTGTCATTAGTGTATGGATATAATACCATTGTATGCACTTTGAAACAAGCAGTTTATATGTGAATGCAACACCACTTGGCAGCTAATATACTTTTCACATTATGTAAATAATAAAAAACAAGGGACATATTTTAGATACATCACATCAATAACTGTTTACCATTACGTTTTGAGGATTTAAGTGGGTCACACTTGGTTTACTGTTTAAAGTAATGTGTATTCTCTTTGAATTTGTGCCGCTAAAGCCAAGAGCCGTGGCTTCTTAACTTAAATTTATTCAGAAAGACTTTGCCACTATAGCAAGTAACTGAAAGCAGCTTGAAATCAGCAGTGTTTGTGTGCCTCATAATGCAATTTGTGCTGAGATTCAAGTAGCCGTTGATGAGGATGACAACAATGTTGATGAGTGAAAACAAGGCTTAGACTACGGCTTTATCACTGGTTTGCCCGTAGTGTTTTTCATTTCTGGAGGAGACCTGGTAGGTTTGAAGTGTTCTCAGGGTAGGTGAAGAGATATTTTGATGACTATTATTAACCATTTACATATCTTAGTATTGCCTCTCTTTGGTTCCAGCCTGAGGCCCGTATTGTTGATTTATGATGTACATCTACCCTGAGAACAACTTCGGTGGAAGGGCTCATGTTTGCTGTGTAGTTCATTCTGGATTGCCAGCACAGGGTGTAAGAGCTGTTCCAAGAAAGAGCAAGGGTTATTTTTAACCTCAGTAATTTTCATTGTGTGTTTTGTGGGTTTTTTTTTTGTTCTGGTTCTGAATTTTTTGTTTGTGGTTGGTTTTTTTTAACAGCATGCATCTACCAGCTGATGTGGTGTCAGCTGTGGAGATAGGAAAGGCAGATGAAGGGTAGGCAGAGGAAGGAGGTTGAGGGGGATTTCTTAAGCCGGCTTCTCTTCCAAAGCCAGAGAGCATCCTGCAACTTGTGGTGTCGAGAACTAAGAAGCAGCAGCCAGGGCTAATGCAGGCCTGACTCTTCTTGCTCTTTCAAACCTGTGAGTGGGTTGGAATAAGCTGCCTTTGCTCTGTTCTTGGGCTGAGCATTCTGCCCGTGGATGTTGTACTTTGTGGAGGAATGGAGTCACCCAGTGCTTTCTGTTTCTCTCAGCAGGGTAGAGAAACTGGGTGTGGGATAATGAAGAGACATTTAGAAAAACTGACATAATGGAAAACTGCTGTGATGTAGCGCTTTATCCTCTTGGCCTTGAACCTTTCGAGAGGCCCGTGGGCTTACAGCTCTCCAGCCATCTGTCTGATAACGAGGCAGACTCGGGAAGAGTGCTTCCAGATGTTATATTTATGTTTCAGACTGTGTCACAGCCACTTATTCCCTCTCGCCACACACGCACGCATTTTTGGGGGTTGTTTTGTGTTGTGTTTTTTTAACGCTGTCTGGGTATGATCGCATTCACATGGAAGCAGCTAATGATGTTACCAGGTTGCGTTTCATAATATTGGAGCTTGGAGGAAAGCAACAAAGCCATTTCAATTCTATGCGGGTCCCTCCACTGTCTGGCAGCACCATATGCTACCAAGGGATATCAGCAAAATGAATTCTCTTGTGATTGAAAAATGAAAGTATATATGTACATGCCTCAAACTTGAAAAGCTGTAAGCTGTGCGGTGCATGTGTCTGGCCCTACCTGAAGACAGTTAGTCTGTGCCAAATATATGGACACAAAGAAGACTATTTGCACATTACGAGCAGGGTAGATGTTATTAATTCTTTTAGAATCTGGGTCATCTTCTCCTGGCACGGTTTTCGGTCAGAGTGGTTTGCAGAGCTCAGCAGAGTGGCAGTGGTGCCTGCTGACCTCAAAACCTTGTAGTCTGAGCAGAGGACACGATTTTCACAAGGACTCAGAGGTTTGGTGCTCATGGCTCAGGATTTTTTCATTACAGTTGTTTATCATTCTGACTGATAATCGAGGCTGAATCAGAGCTGAGATGGCACATGCCTGCTGTAGTAGTAGATGCTTAGGAAGTCGTATATGTCTTCAGGAGGTCACATCTGTGTGTGCAGAAACTGTGGAAATCTGTGCAAACTGTAGAGATACTTTGGGAGGAAGACATCAGCACTGGATTTTTTTTACCATTAAATCCTTAAACAGAAACAATTTCCATTGATTTATGAGAAAGTCACGTATGAACAAGCATTATGGCCTCATAAGTATTTTGTTTTAAGCATCGTGTACATTTTGGTGCAGATTAGGTATAGTCTTTTAGGCTGCTGGCTGATTACCAGTGCACCCCTCAGAGCTTTCAAGGTGACTCATTGCTGTGATGTGCATCTGCTTAAAGTGAGACACGAGGACGTATGCATGTAGTTGTCGATAGTGCTATGAGGAACAATATAGCTAAGCATTTACCTACTGCTTTAAAGATCCTTTCTCTCCACCCTTTCTCATCTGATTTCCCAAATAATTTGTCTCTGCCTGCTGTCTTTGCATTTTAAGATTTCTCTTTATGTTAGGATGCCTGCTTCAGGTCAAATCAGGGCACAGATGTCTCCAGCGTACAGCGTAGGTGCCAAAGACAGACTGGACATCTGCACATATGGTGAAGGATCAGCCAGCTGAGCCTTGTAACAAAACCTTTTCTAGGGCAC